TATTATTATTATTAAACAGTACAAGATATTATTTCCACCAGTACTGTAAAACTTCTTCAAACATCCCATAGGGCATCAAGAGGAGACAATCCTGGGCAGTTTGTTTTTGTTTATTTCTTTGTTTGAGTTGTTTGGTTTTTGGGGTTTTTTTTAGAATACCAGCTTTCAAGACGTTTTTATGTAGAATGGGAACAAGCAGACAAAACCCTCTCTATAATATATGATCGTGTCTGATTAGAAAATGTGAGCCTATCTTCAAGATATCTCATCATGAGAAATTTACAGGAATTCTTTTTGCACATTCATCATAACAGACCTTTTACGGGCGAAATCCTAGTAATTTTAGAGAGGAAAAGAACAACAAAGAATATAAAAGTCACAGAGTGGCGTAGTTTGGCCATTAACATAATAATATAGTTTACACATATTTAATTGTTAGCAGTAAAAGGTGAATCATCTGTGCTCATAAATCGGTAAAAGTCTAGTTCAGACCTCCTTTCTTTTAAGAAGTTGAATGTGCGGCCATGTTGGTTTCCAAATAGAGAGTGGAGACCACTCCGTACGTGCGTAAAAGATCAAATAAGTTCCGAATAGTGACCTCAACTAGACATTTATCCTTCTCTCGTGTCAGTGCCACTGTTGTATTCATGCGACTACCAGCCAAGCAAACCGCTTGTAAGCGGAACAGGTCCGCACAGTTGCCCGTAAGTGTTGGTATGTGATAATCCCACCAACTCCCACAATGCCGTCCTGTGACATATGCATGCTGTGGGAACCAACAGTATACACTCCTCAAGCTTTCTGCTTCGTGAACAGTCTGGATTATAATTCCCCTGTGTGTGTGTGGATCATTACTCTCTCTCTTTCCTGGGTGTTCATTACACGCTCCGTTTGTGTGTCCGGGTGATTCTTGATTGTATACAACAGGTGTCGCGTTTGAGTATTTAAAGTAGATGTGAAGTATTTTTAGAGAACGGACACCCTGAGTACAGGCGCAAGTGTAAGTAGGTTCACTAATGATTGTGTGTGTGTGTGTGTGTTTGTGTGTGTGTGTGTGTGTGT